TTAGTGTTATACATAGTCAGCTGGACATTGAATTTGTCATACTCGATGACATCAACCATAATGATAATTAATATATTCGTAAATCTACAACCACGTTTTCGCTACACGAATAACAATAATGTATGACTATTGTTACCCGGATATTTTATTACATTATCTTCATTTTTGGCCCATTATTTTAAGAATTTTATTAATAAAAATATTATAATAGCCAATAGGTACTGTAAACTGTAAAGCGTAGGTATTTTAATATTCAAATTTTATAAGCAGTTGTTATTCTGTTAGCTACTGTATCGGTGTGGCCCATCTGGATATCCGACAATTGTCGAGGGCCTATGGATATTTTCTTATATTCAATATTGGTATGGATATTCATAACTATAAGTTTGAAAATTTATACTAAGTCACTTACGAGTCATGAGTGGGAGAGTAGGGCATTCAAATTATTTTTGAACTAACGACAACGTTTGGTTATTTAACACATTAGATATTATGCATACATAGCATTCAAATATTTCAAATACCAAATACCTACTCATTATACATGCTTGTCTGTAATATTTTATATTGAAATTTTATTTACATTTTTTATATCTTCCGTGCAGTCAAGTTATATATAAACAAGTATTTTCAAAATTTAAAATTGTATAAAAACTGAACTATAATCTTTTATAAGCCAATAGGCAACAATAAATTAATCTATTATTTTATTGATAGAAATGAAATTATTAATATTTTATGATCTTAAAATATTAATAATTTCATAAAAAAACTATATAAACATTTTTTGTTTGTGGTTATTTATTACCTATTATTTTATTCATAATAGCATTATAAAAAACAAATAATTTTGATATAATAAATTATTTATACAAATGTATTAAAAAGTGATATTTTTTTAAAAATTTGTATGTATTGTGTCGGGATCCATAAAAAATTACTGAGCCAGGGTCTAGTCATGAGCTAGACTTAAATTACTTAGGTAGCTTGGTAGCTATATTAGGTTAAATATATTATACACCCTAATATATGCTTAAATATAGAGTTTAATGTGAATGTTAATATTTTTACATTTATTAATAATATTGCTATAGTGCTGTTTATGTTTTTTCGCTTAACAATTCTAAATACTAGTAAAGAAGGTGATACCTTCTAATCGTATTAATATATTATGTGTTGATTATGATTTATATTTGAATGAAATTTTTTTTTTTTTTAGTTTAATGGAAATAGTATCAATATTATGTAAAATATAAATATTTTAAAATAAAATCAACTACTGTTTCGTCAGGTGTTATAACAATGTTCATATTTTGTGTACTTAACTATTTAGTATATTAAAATAAATAAAAGAGTATAAAAATACTATGAACTTCGCACGGATTTGTATCATATTAATTATATTATATTGATGCTATCCGCGACTCGCGATAGTCTGACACCGACCCGTGACAAAAGTAAAATCACATCGTCCGAGTCACTCGAAGAACATAGTCTAAAAATATTTTTATTTTTCTAGTTGTCGTTTAAAATTTTTACTTTTCTGGTTATTATCTTATTGTGTTATACAGTAGCCAGTACGATCGCTATAAAAATCTAAATACTAAATACTACATCAATTTATCGCAGTCATATTTTTTTTTTATCATTGTACTCTGTGATACTAACTCTTTACTGCATATTAAAATATATAATATAATTATTAAGTGTTTAAAATTCATATAAATATGGTATTTATGTTTCGATTCAACAAAAGTCACATAATACATATTTACTTGAAGTTACAAAATCTTTCTGTGATTATTAAAATTAAAATTAAAAAGATAAATAATTGTTTATAGTTTTATGAGATATAATTGGAAAATGTTTTTAAAAATCAATAAAAAATAACAATAGGTACCTAGAATAATATTTTGTGATTTTTCTGAATATTTATTTCGATTGTTTTTTTAGCATAAAAAAAAACATATTCAATTATAAAAACTTAAATCAATGTATGATTCTATTTTGAATAACTTTGTATGTATGCAGTTGTATATAAATATAATAAATTAAATTAAAAATTAGATATGTATACTTCTTATACTAGGTATAATATACCTGGTATATATATATATTGTGTGCTGTGTTTTGTAATTGTAATTATCATAATGAAGGTTTTTTCATATATTCATTTATTATTTATAAGGTATCTGCAGTATTTCGATTAATCGTAAAGAATCTATTCTGTATTCATACTTAACATTTTCGTGTAAACTTAAACTCGATCTCGCTGTGGTTAGGTTCATTTTTTAATATATTAGTGTTATGATATAATACTATGTTATTAGTATTACCGTTACAAGTAATAACTATCAACTATCGCTAATAATATACATAAAAAGTAATATAATACAATATATTAATGTATGACGTACGTATGTAGTTCTGTAATAATATGTGATTTGCGGTTACATAAAAAATAAACTTACCTATCGACTAGATTAGCACCTCTAGGTCGTGATATATTTATATAATATGAATACTCAACTTACAAAATGTTACACTTATGTATTGTAATAATATATATGTCGTATATTCGTACCTAGGTATTTTAAAGCTATTACAATATGATATGTATATAATATATATTGTGTACGTATATAACACTGTTTGCTAATAATAATCGGTCGTAAAATGTTATATAAAGTCATTACGGGCTATTGTTGAATACTCGAATATAGGAATATGTAATATTATACAGTATAACTTATAAGCAATAACTGTTTACTACAGGTACAGGAACAATTTGAATTTCGATCAGATGAGTGCAATAAATGAATAACAAATCAAAATCGAAAGTGTCAGTTTTTGGGGCATGGCTATTAAACACACAGACATAAATTAGCAATTTAAATTACTGCATAATGTCGATTCAAATACGTTTCTTGTATTTTTAGATTGTGAGTAAAAGTGAGTATTTATTATTTATTATTGTAGAGCGGTTTACTGTATACTAGATATGATGTTTCAATTTCAGTAATGTTTTATTTTATAGTGCTATAATATTTTTAATACAATAATTTTAAATAATTTGTTGCTTTGGATTAAAAATAATTTGTCATTTTTCGAGGATATTATTTATCTATTATTTATTTTATTTTTATGATAAAAAATGGCGAATTTGATAGGTAGGTTAAACTCCTCGTAATTTGAGATGAATAAATAGAAGAATTACTGTGTTTTTCTTATATATCCTAGTTTATTAATAGTTATTAAATATTATGTCTTATTTAGAAATATATAAATAAAATTCATTAATTGTAAACAGTGTGCATAAGTCTGATAAAAAAAACACCGTATTCTACAGATAGTGTATGTAGGATATAGGATGAGCGTATACGTCGCATAGAAAATATACATACTCAATAACGTATTCGTAATGTTCACATCTCAAAAACGTATGGTTTTTTTTTAGATTGGTTACAATTTGATAAATATTGCAATTCTAATTTGTTGTACAAAATAGCTTAATATTATGATGTATTGTATTTGCCTACAATTCATATTTTGTAATATTCATTATAAATCGATAACTGTAATATATGTATATATTTTCATGCTGATATCGTTTTCAATTTAGAACTCTTTAATTGAAAAAAAAACTACTCACTGTATATTATTGCGTTTTGTCTTAATCATTTTTAATTGTTAAGTTTTGCTCTTTCGTATTATAAAATATAGAATAATCATGCGCATAGTGCACCTTCAACACACCTATTATTATTGCACGCCGCATATTTCACGGAAGTTTAATTTATTTCAAAAGACATATGATTTGCCTATTATGTAGGGCCTTAATATATATTTTATATCCAGACTTATATATGTATAGACAGTACAATATACACGCATAGTTCAATGTTAAACCAATTTATATCTTCAGCGCAAATCTTATGTATATATATACATATTATATTTTAGATATACACAGTAGAAATGTTAGAAAACCACCTGTTGGGTTTTAAAATTAAAAAGACTTGAACGCGCCTTATCTGCATTATCAATATACGAACACACGCGACGCGACGTCGCTCGACTATACTAATTTAACACGTGATACATATTTTTAAATCTATAAAATAACAATAACGTCAATAACTATAATATTATAAAATTGACACGTTTATATTATTTTTACACGCTTCACCCGCTATCCATAAAGTCTAATTTCGTATTTTATTATGTTTATTATAATATGCACTCATAATGTCCGTAAGATTATCGAAGTTTTTGGCACTTTCTCATAGGAATTCGTGGGATCGCTGTTATAGTGTTATGTGTACCTATATAGTAGGTACATTGATAGCCGAAGGGTGAGTTTGATTTTTAATATCACTGAGTGCGCCATTTTATTAATTGATTGTTTTGTGGAGTGCGGTCGCATTCGTATATAATATTATAAAACACATAAAGTATTTGTTATCACTCCATGTAATAATAACGTAATAATACATTTACCGGCAGTTAATACGGCCGGGGTTTTACTCACTGTCCAAGAAAAGTATTTATGATATTGCGGTCTTACACATTTTTATTTTTTGTATATAATATATGCGAGCTATACGTACTCCACACTGTGCAGACGTGCGGTGTAAGTAACTTTACAATATCGTTTAAATACGTTAAAATAATTATTTTACCACGTGTGGTGTGGCTTGTGCGTTTATGTATTATAATAATATAATATTATGCAGACGGTCGTTTATCACTTCGACAAAATAACAAAAAAAGGGAGACCCGACCCCACTCGACCTGGTAACGTGTGTAATATTATACATATAAGACATTGGAAGGATTGCACTGTAATAATAATTATAATTCCGACAATACCGTAAAAAAACATCCAAAACTTTCACGAGTTGAACGGATAAATATCAATGGTAGTGGGGAGGGGCAAGGACGGGCTTCGCACAACACCACGGCGCGTGTGTGTCATCCTCGCCGCGCGACGCACCGCGAAGCCGAGACCGCAGTCGCGTGCCATATGATATCTATCATGTACGCCCGATAGATCTACACGGCGTGTCATACAGCGATCTACAGTATTATTATTTTTTGTTTATATCGAAATAGTATTACACGCAATATTTACAATTATTATAATATAGTGTAAAACCGTTCAACCGTCGTCTGGTTAGCACACTCGCTTCAACCTCTGTGTGGAAAAAACTCAGCATACTAACGTTCAAAAACTGCAATAAATATACCATATTTAAATTTATATATGCATTCCGAACTGCTATAAGTACGATCCAGAATAATTTTACCTGACCGTTGTTAATAGCTATCGTTGTGTACATGCCCCAAGTGTCGATTGTTCAGCTAGAAGATACTTTATAGTGCATAGTGTGTGGTACCTACTTTACCGATCACCTGTAGTGTTCTACGCCGGGTAAGTAACTATTATACCTATACGAACGTTTACATTTTTTCACCTCCGATTAAACTATGCAAGATTTATATTATTACTTAGACTAGGATTTTGATGTAAAGTGCATCGTCTTCCGAAGCTATTATGCGATGCTCAATTTATAACGTGACCGTTTCATATATTGTATAATTTTTAATTAAAATAAGAAGTTTTTATTTATAGTTTTTAGATAGTATTTTAGGGTTTTTTTGGGTATTTTAAAAAAATATTTGTTTTTTATTTTTAATAATTTTTATTTTGAGATTTTTACTTAAATAAGTATTTTTGTAACATACTGAAAGGCTTTTACATAATTGAATATTTTTATTTTATAACCGTAATTTTTCGGAATAGATCTATAAGTATGACTAAAAATTTAAATTACGAGTGGCGTCGAAAAATTGAATGAGAATATTCATTTTTCAGGTTAAAATTTCACGTTTAACATTTAAAATTCTACAGTACTCCCACAAAACTTTTTTTTTTTAATTAAATAAAATATTTTTCGGTTCAAAACTTATTCGAAATTAAAAAAAAATTGATAATTTTATTGGTACATTGTTTTGATTTTGAAGTAGGTACATAAAGCATAATTTTTCTAAATTATTACATTTATAGTCCTAATTAGTTAATTATTACCATATTTATATATCGATCAATATATTCAGTATTATACAGGGAACCCGATTATAGAGAATAGCAGAACTAGAGATTAAAAAGGGTTGAAAGGGCTCCTCAAAAAAGGGACTTCCAGAATATCAATAAACAATATTTATAAAAGTATAAAAATATATATTAAACGTATATTTGATACATCTAATAATTTTTTTTTTATATAAAATTGGAGCTTCCAAAATTGGATAGCACAGTGTCATTTATTACATTAATCCGGTTTTGAAGCAAAGTAATAATAAATATTAAATAATAAATTTAATTAAAATGATAAATAATAAAAATAAAAATCTCGATATAGTTAAATAAAGGTCGATAACTCATTAAGGAAATTTGGCTTATCAAATGTAAGTCTCGTATATAAAACAAATCAAAGTTTTTTAATCTGTCATATTCTCGAGCAACACGATCTAATAGATTCTTATAGCCATAAGTTGTATGATGGAATAGAATTGAAAACGTAGAACAATATCGTGAATTATATTGAGGAACGTTAAAATTTCTAGAATGCAATAAATTTGGACAGGATATAACGATTTTTATTATTTTGGACATAAAACAAATATCAATAGATTTGTGATATTTCCCAACGTCTTCCGTGCGACCATATCATTATCGGCACCGCAGTCTTAAAGTGACGCTGTTTTTTTGTACTTTTCTGCAGGTGAGGTATGTGTCTTAACTATAAATGGTATAAACCTGATGATATTTTAGATTTAATTGAATATTTTTAACTGTCCGAATACACACATAAGTATTTAAATATTGTGTAATAATCAATATCATATAGATCGTTTCGAAAGTATCAAGTACCTTGGATCTTATAATTAAATGAATCTACATTTTATATACACTATAAAATATATATATATATACATAGATTATGATTTTAAGTTTATACGATCCAATCTTTGGTTTATATCTGTTTCATTTATCTAATGTATAAGAAATTATAAAAAATATACTATGTTACTATTTTAATTAACATACAGTGACATTTAAGTTTAAATACGAATTGCTTAAATTTATTGAGAATACTATCTAATTATTTTATATATGTGTTACAAGGTTACCCTTTTTATCATTTCAATTTTTTTTATATCCTTATCAGCTAATTTTCATAAAGTAAAAATATAAAATAGACTTCGGGAATAATGATGTATATATAATATATCATACTATCATAGAATAAAACATTAAATTGCAGGTAATAAATAGGGCGATTATTTCATCGGGAACCGGGATACATAAGATATTTTCAACTATTTTAAAATCAAATTATACTAATAAAAAACGTAAAATAGTATGCTTTTTACGTTTTGAATGTATGTATATAATTTAACAATTTATTTTATTTTTTTTTAATGGTTTACGGTAAAATAATCATCATGTATAACATTTAAAACGATAGCTTTTATAGTAGCAAATTATTATTAAACGTATTTGTAATTTGTAATTAGGGTGTATAATTTAAAGATCCATAACGAGTATTTAGATTTATCGGACACGTATTTAGTAAAATCAAAAAATGTAAGCTACTTATTAATAAATATTAGCATGAAAATATATAAATGATAATTATTAATTTCATACAACATTGTAGTATAATTTGTTCACATATAATTACATATAATTTACTACTAGTTAGTATTTAAACATTTGGACAATCAATCTAAATATTAAAATTTATTTTAAGTATACACATTAATAATTATTATGTACAAAATGTAATACATAGATACGACGTACAGTGAGCGATGGGGGGCTTATCAATATCTCAATTCTTAGAGGTTTATAATAACATAATAATATGTTATACTACTTATACTAATGTATAATATTTACCTAAAAAGAAAAAAATTAAGTGAATTTATGCATTTTATTTTTTGTATAATGGTATGTTTTGACATTTCGTCAATCGTTAACAATAATAATGATAGGTAAACTACTTCAATCTTAATACGTGTGCATAATATTATCATCTATTCCAGTTTAATGAGCAAGACAAAATGCACGCATCATGTATACGCGAGTAAACGATAAGAATAACTACTTAAATTTTATTACCGCACGGAGCATAAGTGTATAACTTTCGCTTACCAAGTTACGCATTCGAAAATACGTTGAATCATTTACTTCACCTAAAAAACTTCAGTACTATATAATACTACTAAACCTATACATAACCAACTATATAATATTTATTTGTCCAAAATATAAACCGAGAACAATAATAATTTTACATGAATCATAGACTTAATATATTAAACAAATAATTTAATGACGTTAACGTAACAATACTATAATTAAAATATTGTTTATATTTTGGGCTCAAATAAATAATTTATTGAAATAGATAATAAATCATACTCATGATTGACAAAGTATATATAACTAATAAGCACCTATAAACTATATGTTATGTAGGTATTTATTATTGGTACCTACTACCTAACTAATTGGTACCTATATTATTTAGTATTTACATATATATAATATTAATTTTTGAATTAAATTAAATAATTAATAGTTTAATAAAGAAAAGAAAATATGTCTAATGTCTATGAAAGATAATTATACTGATTGATTATAAGTTACAACACATAATATTTTAATTACCTTGCTGTCAATATAATATTATGAATTATGGTTAGTATTAAACCATACATAAGTAGTTAGATCGTTTATGATTTATGTTACATAATGATAATATACTTAATATATTGTATAAATCGAGTAAATTTAATATAATATATAGATTTACTGTTGCGTTATATTATATGATATGATATTATATTATATTCAATATGATATGGTATATAACATACATTTATTGATTTTGATTAATTTATAGATATTTTTTATGCTATTAATGACATTTTTGAAATCATGTTTACTTTTTTTATGATTAATAGCATTTTTAAAAGTTAAACTTTAAGGAATAATTTATTTTTAAATTGTAATCCATCTTATGTAGAAAAGCTATTCATTTAATATACTTATAATACATATGTATGTACACAATACGTGTGTATTTTCTAAACATACATTTCTAAATAATTTACATTTCTAAGTTTTTCTAAATCCCATCAAAACTAAATAATTTGAAATAAAAATAAATAAAAAAAAATTATATCTCGCTGAGGTTATGGATAGAAAGTTAAATTTACTCTAGTTAATCAAAATATAATGAATTTAGGTTAGGTGTATGCGCTATATGGTTTATTTGTAGATAGGTGATGTATTTAATAGGTAATAACTAGTAGGTACTACCTAATTGAGTTACATTAAAATTTATTTTGAACAGTTTTGTTATAGTGCATTTTAAACGTATATAATAGCCGACGACAAATAGATTTTATTTTATTTACTGCGAGTGTGTTTATTAACTAACTAGAATCAATTACAATACTATTTTTTTTTACATGGTGCGTTTATAAAATTACAGGTCGTGATGAAATGAGTTTGGTGGAATACCCAAGGTCAGAATATGTCCGTTTGCGATTGCTGGGCCAGTTTCAAGTTTTTTCAAATTGTAAGTAAAATGAACAATAAAAGTATAAACATTAGAAACAATATATTATAATAGTGACAAAGTCCTCATAACATAGGTATTATACATACATGTGAAATAATTATTTAATTATACAATATATTGGCGAACAACCTTCATGAAAATATGGGCTGTGGGAAAATGCCCAAGGTTTTAATTTTTTCTTCATATTACATACGAAAAGTCTCTTCAAGATTATTTTGACAAAACATGTAAATTGCTAAAAAGAATATTTTTATACATATAAAAAACTAAAGTAAACTTATTATAATCGTCATTAATTTTGTCATTTTTATTACGACTTGCTAAGTACAAATTATATTGTTAATAATTCCACTTTTATCTTTTATGCAATCAAACTGACTATATACATTTTTTGCTTATTTTTATTCATATAAAATTTAAATAAATTAAGCGGCGTGTGAGAAAAATAACATGATACAGATATTAACAAGGTATTAATGAATTTAAGTTTAAAAATTAAATTAAATTATACGCGAACATTAATTAATTATTCTTGAAAGTGGTTTCTACTTAGTACTGCTTATAGGCTATAGCTCTATTATACTGTAATTATGCATTATATAATACAATTGGTACCTGCTATATCGAATTCATCGTTATATACATATGTTTGTTATTTAACAGTGTAAAATATTTTAAATTTATTTTACATTTTTATTTAATTTATGCGTATTTTAAATCTCCATCCGTCATTTCAATTTATCAATTTATCCACTTTCAGTTAATTTTATTTTTTTTTAATAATTCATATTAATATTTATAATACACGTATACTTTAATATAACACAAATAAATAAATCGAATTTTGGATTGTGAATTTTGGTAAATGGAATTGATTATTGTCCACTATTAATTATTAAATTAAATTGATAAATAACAGATATCTACGTAAGTACTTTTATAAAGTTTGTTTAAATATGTATATTGTATATGTATAAATTATTGATAGATATAGATGTCATATGCGTTACACTTTATATGCATGCATATAAGCGCCACGAATTGTGTTAAATGTAAATTGATACCTATAATATACAAACATAATATATTTTTTAACGTTTCAAGTTACTTATTTACTGAGCATAATATGATAAACATATACGTATATCAAATTTCTTTTTGTTTGTGGTAAACAAAAAATATGTTTTTTTTATATAGTCAAGTAACTTAGTATAAATATTCGCACAATATAAAACATATACTTTTTTTGAGTGCGTAAGACGTACCTATATTGCTACATCAGAATGTTCATTTCAAAACAAAAAATAAATTATTGTGTATAGGGGATTAGAGAATTTCAAATATTTGCTCTTCTGGTTTTCTATATATATAACTTGGCGGCAGTCGCATTATATATCGTTTGCGAATTGCATATTAAAGTTTAAAGTACTCAGCTCATATATTTCATGTACTATATATATAATATATATATATATATAATATATGTAATATATGAGCGCATGACCGGTATTATATTATGTACTCGTCTGTGATAAACTATTCTTTATCGTAATATAATAATATAGAGATTATATTATAAAGATCATTATTGTTTATGCAATTGTGCCTTGCGGTCGTCGAATGACATGGAAAACCAGTTGAAAATTTAATTAAAACTTCTATGGGCTATATTGAAGTAGATATATATAAATATTATATTATATGGTGTATCACTGATCATACTTATACATTGTAATCTCTTTTTTAACTATATGATACGAGTTATATCATAAACATACTCATAAAACAACAAAAATGTACTTTTATTGAATATTGATAAACCAGTATTATTTTTTATTTTATAAAATTTGTATTTTAAAGCTTACGATTATGATTATTTTTGGAAAGTTAAATTGATTATACTTTATTTTTTGCTGAATAAAATATTTACACATCTATAATTTATGTTTTTAAATTATATATCTACAGTAAAAAACCAAATAATAGGTTTTTATTTTAATCCAGAAAAATGTAACGAATAACAAATTATCGGAAATTACGATAAATTTGTTGTGCACAAACATTGTTGTATATGCTGTTGAAAATTTGACCTAGCAGAGGCAGTAGTAGTAGCAATTATTAACGGATTACAAAAACGTAAATTTTGTACGAAAAATTGTACCAACAAAATTACTCATAGGTAGTACTTTCATACGTATTCTTAAAACAACATTTGATCTTCACTTTAGGTACATAGGTAACTAAAAAATGTGACATACATCAATACATCATGTAAAAGGTTGAAAGTGTAAAAATAACACTTAAAAACTATGAATATAGAAAAATTTAAGTTAATGAATACCACCTATATTAAGTAGAATAAATATAAAAAATTAAATTACTTAAACAGCAATAATATTTTATGATAATTATATAAAATCATCGTAATGTTTTGGTTTTAAATAATGTTTGACTATTCTCAAAAAAAAAAATAAAATAATGTTTACCTAATTTATATGTACTTTGATTTATATTTATCAATATAAATATATCACTTCAAAATTCAGGGTTAATCATATTTATTCCCAGGTCAAATAATTCAATCGCTCTAAAACAAAATATGTGCCTGCGTGATGATATAAATATAATACCTGCCTCAATACTACGATACCTCATAAGTCATAATCCTCATACTGGTATGATATATTTACTTATTTATTATAGGTAGGAACAAATTGCAAAATATGGTACAATTAAACGATTATAATATGTTGGTTATTCACTGTTATTAGTAACTATAAAAGAAAAATCAAAATCGTATTTTGTTGTGTTGTCAGAATACTAATTATTTTGTGAAGTAAGTACCTTGGTATATGTAGAAGTAATTTTATTTTGTTTTAGTAAACGAAGATCTCTTTATACTCAAGGTCTTGAGAAAAAATGAAAAAAATATACAATGTTATACAATTTATTCAATGTCATATTGTCATTTAAAAACTTAGTTTAAAAATTATATTGCGATACTCTCACGTGTTAATAAAGAGATCTACATAGTCTACCTATAGGCTATAGCTATTTAAATTAAATAAATATATTATATTATGATTTTTTTATTCGCAGACCCGAGCTCGCCTATTTATAACATAATATACATATTTTTATTTTTATTTTTTTATCAAATCAAAAATTTCCAATAATATATAGTTAAATAAATAAACTATATGATATATAACTGTATAATTATACATATCATACCTAATGTATGATGTAAGTTGAAAATGATAGCAAAAAACGATAACAATTAAAATTGAAGGATAAAATAAACCTGATTTCGCCGTGTATTAGATTAACCTATATATAAGGATTAATGATGTACGTTATAGGTACTCATCTATCAATAGCTTTATTAATGACTTAAAAACGAATTTTGTACGTTTAATTATCGTGTTTACGTTTAATGTGTATCCGCAGGGATATATATATATATATTTTTTACATCATTGTAGTTATGTCATATGTGGGAGTTGAGTTGACTTCTCGAAAATTCATAGTATCAAACAAAGGCTAATTTTTATTTTATTTTTTATTGCAGAATAGATATCGAACGTTTAGAGAAAATTTTAAGTCTGAATAATTAAGATTTTGAAAATATTAGATAATTTAATCGGATTCGTTGGCTTTTTTTGTGAGAGGGAGAAGGATACATACAGCCATTATGGACTAGGGAGTATTTGTCTAGTTTTTAATACCAGCCGATGACTCTACATAATTAATAATAATAAATAATAACTAAATTGTATTGTTTAATATTTTTTTTTTCATTGTGGGGTTTTCACCAATGAATATCTAGAACAATATAAATCTAAAACATGTATAATTTGTCATTATTAATATTTTTATCATTTTTAATTAACTATATACACGTACACTGTATAAAAGTCAGATTCACACATATCTATATATTATATGCAAATTCATACTTAATTTTGACGAATTGAACAAGTCATAAGTAATTTTTATCATAAGCTTACAAAAGAATACATATTTCAATATACTTATGTTTATGTAATGTGCCTCTATGATTTATAGTATACATTTGTCATGTATACTCGTAATTATTCAAATACAACTGTAATTTTATTTTTTATTTGTAATATAGGTAGGTATGTTTGAGAGATCTTTATACATAAACCTACTGTGAAGAAAAAAATTTTCACAGCTTGCTTTATATCGCAATGACGATAACGATTACCCATTAAAACAAATTAGTTAACGAGACCTCACCTTTTAAAAAGGTGCTCCGTCTTTTGTGTATATAATATCTAATAAGCAATTGTAATTATTGTGAGCAAGGTGATGTCTATTAAATCAAAACATGTTCATTCGTAATAAAAACATTAAAATAGAAAGAAATAATGCGCAGTTGGAAATGAGTACCTATTATGGTCAATGGGTACCTGCCGACCTGTATAATGTACATTAATATGACCAACTAAGAACTTTTTGACTTATGCCACATGAGTATTAACCGTGTTGTAGTTTAAGTGTTGATATTTTCTGATACTTATATTTCATAGCGTGTATATTACTGACGTACATTACGTAGTTATCTACATATCTATTGTGCGCTTGTGCACGTATTATACTAAATATAGTAACTATATTACAATAGTAATACAATAGTAAATAATATGACTTATTAGTTATTATTATACTATGCACCAGGTAACATCGGACATTCATGATTCATGTCGTATAACATAGATACCTATCAAGTCATACAAGTTTAATAATTACTTTTAAAATAGCCAAAAAATATAACCAATATATCCATTAATAATGTTTAACAACTGCAACATGCATAATATTAACTTGTTGGTAGATAAAATCAAGCTTTATAGGAAAAAAAAATACTAAATTTAATTGATTCGTAATTACCTGTATAGTTATTGTTCAACAGAAAAAAATTTGCATAAATTATTATAAAATAATCGTTTGTATTTTTTGTATATTGATCGCATGATGATTTGTTTTTTGTGCAGATTTTGTGTTTGAGTTGTCTACTCTATAAGAGATGGTCGGACGTAGAAGCCACCAGACTGTTTTATTTCTTCGAGAAGTCGTCTAGAGAGTGGCCATTGCTGAACAACATTACAAGGAATGGGGCTGGATCCCTGTTCGCGGATGTTACTTTTGGCGGTTACATAATAATATGCGTCGCGCTATACATAGCGTACTTAATGGGAGAGCTGAAGAATAGCAAAAAAAACTGTAAGACCACCATTCGACCGTATCCATCACAATAGTTATACGTTTTTAAGTATATATATCCATTCTCAAAAAGTTCCACATACATAACGCTTGATGTACAGTGATCCCTTGTTATTCATAGTTAAGTGGGGAAAACCTCACAAACAGTATTATTAAGAATAATTTTAAAATGTATTCAGAATACATGTTTAAGTTCTTGGTGGTGTCATTACTCGTTTGTACTTGAAATACATACTCGAATACTTTCTTTAAAAAGCGTTTGAGTATACTAATAAATAATACGCTTTTTAAAGGTTCCTATTAAAAATATTTTTTTAGTTCAATAAATTTGTTATTGAAATATCTTTACGTAAATCACGTACATAGATAGGTACTTGAACTTCTTTAAAGATTAAAAATGTTTAAACTATATAGTTATTAGTTATTACTAATACATAGTATGTAAATACTAAATACTTAAATAGGTTTAAGAATTTCAGATTTCGGCGTTATTTCTTATTGGTTTTTGAATTTAATAATTTTTTTACAAGTTTTAACAATAACACAGTCTGCTTTTGAAAGAAATTGTAGTTTTTAGTTTTGTAGTATTATACAATTTCATTATAAAACTTATAAATTATAATATTTTCTTACCAATGTTAGTCCTGTGACATACGAAAGATAAGTTTCAACAATAAAGAATATTAAAATAGACTTCAAACTTCCAGGATTCAAACTAATTTATTAATAATTTATGCTGAATAGGATTTTCCGAATGAATAAATTGTTCTACAAACTAATCTTGGATAAATTTATCATTTCGAATCGACAGTTACAATTATAAAATATGTATAAGTATGTATCTAAATGTTTTTATTTGTTTTATTAAAATATTTTTCATTATTTTAATAATAGATGTGTTGTGATGTATAAATTGTATTAAATGTATGAAAGTGGATGAGAAAAAAATATTATATCATATGATATGTATTATTCAAATTAATATATTTTATAGGTATTTGAACAAGGGTGTAGTGATAAAGCCCTCCACGGGTCTGTTTCATTTAAATATGTAAAGACCCTCCAAGTCAAAAATTGAAATTGCGCCCTATGATCATTACGAATAAGTTTATAAACATACTTTGCTACTAGAACTTAATGCTATAAGTACGACATATCTACGTAAGATTAATAACTGCCAATCATTCAATTATATTAGCTGATATTAGTATATGATTAAACGTTTTTACCTAACCTATTAATCTACTAAGTTTTTTTATCCTTTCTTACATAATGGCATGTATTAATTTTATTCTTATAAGTATAAATAATTAATGCTTATGAATTGTATTTAAAAAATTAAACTTACCTACCTAACTTACTTTTTTACAAGCAAATGCTTTACAGTATTTCGTTATCCGCGCAAGTTTCATGAAATGTAATCTCAGCGGGTAACAAGAGATCACTGTACCAGAGTGTACCTATATTACAAGCCATTATAAGTTATTCTAATTTGTAATTATTTAGCTGGCTTACCACCCTACACTCATAGCAATAACAATTTTTTATATTAGATGCCTAATAGGTTCAACAAAAAATAACTCAAGTTTGGCTACACAATAACTAAGATTTATAAAAATTCAAAAATCATACTTATTTTGCGGTACTTATGCGTAGGTACCTTTAATTTTATACCCGTGTATAAAATATAGTGTTTCAACGAAATTCAACCACCTGACCACCATTTATCGCATTACGGCTAATCTTACAAATTAGCAATAATTTCAGCTGCAATATTGTAAAAATAATTATACAAAACCATAATATTAATGATGTTCCGCGCGTGCTTCAGGAATCGTTTCTGTTGGTCATCGGCGCAGCGCTGTTCATCGCCGTCGGCTGTCTGGTATTGACCGCCGTGGACAGCGTACCCGGGAACCTGGTCATCAACGCACTCGTGTTGGGCATCTTGTCCATAGTGACTGGCATGGTGTTCGTGCTGGATACGTGCCTGTCGAACAGGCGAAACGATAAGGAGTCGCACCTGTTGCCGAAAAACACTCGGTACGGCGACATCGCGCGTACTAGGACCGCCGTCGACGGTGCACTGCATGCCAATGGCGCGAACGGAATGCACGCCAACGGGACAAACGGATTGCACGTCAACGGTACGAACGGATTGCACGCCAACGGTATGAACGGATTGCACGCCAACGGGACGAACGGCGTGCACATCAACGGGACGAAAGGAGTTCAAAAGCGGGAGGCGGTGGAAGAAAACAAGGAGAAAAACGGCTTGCTGCGGACGACCGCGGCCGTCAACGGTCGGGTGGTGGAGACCAAGAACGAGAGCGTTCAGACGACGGCGAGCAGGGATCGCGGACGACCGGAAGAAGATTACGACGACGTTGACGGGGCGGTCGCACACCAGTACGGTCGCAGGTACATGGGCGACCGCGGGTTTGACGTGGGTCGCGGACATAGGCACGCCGACTGGTACGACACGGACATGGATCTGCCAAAAATGAAGAAACTCGAGATCAACGTGCCGACAGAAGAGTCTCCGGATTACCGTCGCAGGTTAGTACTCGTATACTCGGGAGTAATGTAAAGCTGATAACGAAATTGGGATTTAAATTGTACCGTTAAAAATTAAAGTCGATGTAATGTCGACTGATGATTTTTGTTTCGTGCTTTAGCAGGACAAAAACACTACTAAAATATAAGACTCGTTCAAGGGGTTTTAAATAGGCAACTTTACTAACTAAACAATAATAATTATTTAACGATTCCTAATAATCGACTTGTGCAGTCAAAAATAAAAAACAAACTAAATTATTTTTCAGATTCATATAACCAACTGAATACAACTTTATCTCTGTTAAATATATCTTTTTATTAATGATAACATAATTCTAATTTAGTAATTAATGCAATTAATCATTTACTATTAGTCCAACTTATACTAGATCGTTGTTGGTTTCAGATTTGTGAATATTAAGAACAGTACTAAACTACAATCACCTAGCATTACGAGTACTGTGCACAATCAACAAGAAAGTCCAAAGGAGGAAAATGAACATGAAGTGAAAAATGCCAGAGTACCATATGTTTTTTCAGAAAAAAAGAGACCAACTAGACCTACTGATCTACCTTTAAAATCACCTGTGGAGAGAGTGAATGATTCATTACAAAAATCGGTTAAAAGTCGATTTTACTTTGGGGCGAACATGGAAGAGCCTAAATCGCCAAATGATCCTGGCTATGTACTGCACACTGCGTCGAGATGGGAAGAACAACCTGCAGCAGCCGTGCCACAAAATGGATACAAAAACTTTAAAAGAAGTCAAGTATAATCTAAGTAAATAAACTTATTTAATTTTGTATAAATTTCAATAATTGTGTAGACTAGATTTTAGTTTGTAATACAAATTAAAATTGTAAAAATTTTCTTTCGGGATCTTTTGAAGAACTTTCTTCTTCAAGTACATGTTGAGTTGGATCAAATGATTCTTTATCATACTCTTTAGTACCCATAACATTAGCACCTTTAATTCTGATAACAGTAGCCTTTTCAACACCTAGCATTCTAGCATACTGAAAAGCTGAAAAAATTATTTCTATTATAACTTAAAGAATAACAATAATAATAATGTAGTAAACACTAAACATACCAGGTGAGAGTTTTGATTCATCGTCTGGAACTAATCCTTCGGATACTACCCAATCAAGGCGACCTTGCTTCACTTGGTATAATACAGAAATAAATGCTGTTAAACTTAAAAAGAAGTATGCCTTTGCGAGTACAGCTTTTTTAGCTTCAGCTTCTTCAACAGTCATTGGATTCATAATTCTTCTGAAGAATCTGCGTACAAAATGAAATCGAACTGGAAAAATTAAACATAACATATTAATTGACATAGATAATTATATTTTAATATTTTAACTTTTGAAGGTTCTATAAATAAAATAGAAATAGTTTCCATGCATTATAAGAAGAAAAATCAAGATATAAAACGAGGTATCAAAAAATAAATACTATTAATATTTTGTGTTAAATGTAAAAATAAAATATAATTTTTTCAATAAAAATAATAAACATTAACTGTTCAATATGGAGACTAGTGTAAAGATAACTTAGTATTATTTGATAAGTCTCTTAATATTTATGAAATGTACACTGTAACTATACATTAATTAGTTGTAATTCTTAATTCTTAGAAATACTTTCTATTCAATTCAAAAAATTATGGTAATTTAGATTAGTTAATTATTTGTGAATATAATAATAAATATTTAAGTATGATTTATTTTGAATATAATTTATATATATAAATATTTATTGTTAAATAACAAGTTGTATTCATCTATGAAAATATAAAAAAATAAGTCTAATTTTCATGAAAAACATTATTATGTATTAATAAAAACGTTCATGTTTTATAATATTAGAATATATTGTTACAAAATAAAATACTTATAGAGAATACATATATATTATGTAATTATTTATTATTTTTATATTTAATTTGCTTTCAATATGATAATTCTAATAACAATTATAGGTGGAAGGATAAATGATTAATAATTCTTAGGAAAAATGTATTAGTAAATAAGTACCTAAAACAAAAATAGATACCTAACTGAAATTAGATGTATTTGTACTTTGTTAATCTTTATAGGAATTATAGTTTCTGACTTTTTAAGTTAAAAATGTTTGAAGTATGCTATTAAAATTATCAAAAACTGCATTAAAATACGTAGTTAAATTGTTTTTTTTTTATAAATAAATGTGAATAACGCATGATCAATAAAATTGAAAAAATTATTTATTATTGATAGAGCTAAGGACATATTATAATCACAAAAAAGCATAAAATATACAAGTCATGAAAATGAAAATTCTAAAATATGCACTAAATATGATTTTATACCATCTATTAATAAAGTACACAATAACCATATTTGGTGGCCTTCAAATAATTAAATAGTATAATGAGTTATTTATTATTTTTATTGAAAATATGTAAAATAGAAATATGCTTCAATCTAAATGTTTCAAAAAATACCAGAATATACAAAAAATAATTACAAATTTGGTTTTGCTATAATATAATAAAATTCTTCTATTTCCAGTCAACCTTTATTTAAGGATTACTCAAAACAAACATGCAATCGCTAGAAGTCTTTTGCTCAAGATATTGATTGTTTAAGTCAAAACTTGTTGTATAAAAAATGGTCGAAATATGCAACTATATTTATAGGGGAAAAATGTGGTAAAATGTATATGCATATAATATTAATACTTGTCGAGAATATTTAAATTGGTCAAAATTGAAGTGCCTTTTTTTTTTGTAAAATATAATTAAATATGTAATCAAAATTCATTTTTGATTTCGCTAAATTAAAATAAAATCAGATCCTAGGATATTCTTTTTCAATCACCACAAAAAATCATGCAAATGCAAGAAGTTCCAGATGTGTTAATAAAATATATGTATACAATGAAATTAGATAATATATATATATAAATAAAAAATATTAAATATATTTTTGTTTTAAAAATATTTGCCTACTAATTTTTATTTTTTACTTATAAAATGTAATTATTTGACAATATCTTTAAATATTTTATTTTTCAAAATATATTCTTAGTCTTTAGAACTTTATTCTTGTCAGCACATTAAGAATATCTAATAAGTATAATAATAAGTTATTAATAAGTATTAATAAAGATTGTAAATCTTTATTTTTCCAATTAAATTATACATATAATGTATAATGCAAATAAAAACAAATAATTATAATGGTGTTCACATTCAGAATAATATAATAATGTTAAAAAATATTTTAGTTAAATACTTAAATATAGGTTCATATTATAATCATATTCATAAAAATAGGCCGAATAAATAATAGTATATAGATACTTACATCCAAACATCTTGACAGACTTTGTTTATATCTAATTGCCAAACCACATTAATAATTATTAAACGATACAAATTTGATTATATTTGTATTTATGTGTATTAAAACTTAAAAAAAAGATTTGGGGATGGTGGACCGTGAACACACAAAGTCACAAAATAGTATATAAATTAATTTTTATTTTCTACAAGAATTAAGAAATACGAATTTAACGTTATCAGTCATTGTCAGCTTATCTCACAAGAATCAAAGTAGCTGATAACAAGCGTGTTTTCACGGTGGTAACGAAAGTAATCGGTTTGGTAACGAATTGATACATTAATTATTGTCCATCGCCAAAACGATCCGAAAAGAGATATTTTGTATTAAAAATGGGTTACCAAACCATTGGAAAAGTCGGCTGATGATAGAAGCAAATATTTTTAAACAATCAGCAGTTTTGATGTAAAATTATCGCCTAAACGAGTTTTGGTCTTGATATTTGCCATTGGTAGTTGTTACCTCCGCGAGATCGCGCCTAATATTCCAAACCGCACAAACTCTATGGACATAATATACAAGAAACGACGGGTAAAAAATAAAATTTCTTGTTAACAAAACACTTGGTTTATGGTTACTTAATATTTATTCAATTTCTAGTACCTATGTATACGAGTATAAGTTAAGACAATTTAAATGCAATTCTATGACAGTGTTTTAATGAAAATGCCAATCCGCGTAGTTGAAAACTTCGTAGAAGTATTTTTGGAAAAGTTTAAAACGAAAACAAGATTGTGTTGAACTTACCTGTCATATGAACATATTATCGTTATTTTCGATGTGAAAACAAGTTAGTCGAAGCATAGCCAGATATAGGTAAACGTAACTTATAAGTAAATAACAATACAATAAATATAATTATCTATATCATAATTTATTGATGAAATGATATATTAACACATATAACTTATAACTTATAAGGTATACCACGGACGAACATTAATGCTGAGGTGTATAAAAATTGATTAATTTAATCGGATTATTCCATGACCCATTAAATCATGTTTAAGGGAACATTAGTTATTGCTTACACAACCCGACATTAACAATATGATTTGACTGTATGAAAATGTAATTTTTACTTAGATTTTTAGAGTAATAATAATAAAATCCGGAAAAAAAACCATTGAATAAATTTTATTTTAGGTCAAAATTGCTCTAGATTGATGGAGGTACCTTATATGTATATCAACAATAATATAATTATTACAAAGCGTGGGTATATTGGATACATAATAATTCGTTTAAAAAATCATTGATTACAAAAACATTTTTATAAATATAAAAGTAATTTAATAATTTATTGAATAAACTTCAACCATTATTTAGGATATCAATATATCCTTGACAAAATCCAATTGGAATATTAGAGTAGATACGATATAACCATAGGCGCAACTAATTAATAAACCTCTAAAATATATGAGGTGCTAAAACTATTAACGTCTCACAGATCTGTGGGGGGCTTGGTCCTCCACACTTCTATCTTTTAACATACATTCATTACATCAAAATTATAAACACAGATTTGTACATTTCATATAAATATTAAAAATAAAATTACAACCCTCTTTTTTTTTTAAAGTGAGTAACCTTTTTAATTTCATAATCATACTAAATAGATAATAATTTACTACACATTTTAAATCAACATAATTTTGCTGAGTTTCGTGCAATATATAGTTTACAAAGTTTCGAGTTTTAGCAGATTTAATATATATTTTTTTTAATGTTCAGCTAAGATAAATTGGTAAACCTTTGCTAAAGCACACTTGATCAGCCAGTTTTTTATCCGCCGCACTGTTGAAAAACTTCGCTCGCAAGTAGCAGAGCTAACAGGAATTGTAATAGCAATTTTCAATAAATAGTTTGGCATGAAAAAAATAAGGAGTGCAAAATGGTCTTTAGCACCCCCTCCCCTAGTTGCGCCACTGGATATAACTAATCTACGTTCCTGTCATTGTAATAGGTTTTCGTTGATTTCAGAATATTCTAAAATCAATGGTATTAGGTAGCACAAAATATATTATGTATGATTATGTATGCCGCGTCCCTTGGAGGCTGTGTTCAAGACCAATGTCGCCCGATTTGGTTAATATCAGATAGTGTCTATACCTGACACAAATTAACTAAATTCTGTAAAAATGAAAAAATAAATTTAATTTAATTTATGCTAAAACAAAATATATATAACCGCGATTTCGAGAGGCTCATATCAAAATTAGAATTTAATCTGTTAAACTAAAATTGAAAAATTATGTAAATACTAATTCTTATTAAACTCCAAACTTCCTTGTTTTTAATATTTTTGATTAGTATAATGTATAAATATAGAAATGTATTGAATATGATAGGCAAGCATCGTATCGACATACTTAAAAATAGGTTATATACTGTGGTCGCTAACTAAATATCCAAGGTACTTTTGTGTAAACAAAATTGAAAATTTCCTTTAATATCTTAAAATGTTTAATATAAATTTGAATAGTAATCACATAATATATCATCAACGATTATCGATAAATTATTGTTCTGCAGAGAGAATAAAACAGATTGGTTATTCAAATGACAAATGTTATACCATTACAACCATTACGTCTATTAGTTGAAATTATTTACCATATACTATTCACTATTGTTTACTACTGTTGGTTACTATACCGTTACTCCGATCAAAATCGTTTTTAGTATGCAAAATTTATTATTTAATACAAAATTAACATGTCTATTAATTATTATTATAGAGATTTGTGACGATCTCCACAGACCCTAGGACACAGCAACATAGATCATGGTTTAAGTTAATATTCATGCTACAAAAAATTGATGATATTTAAATCCCCATCACAAATTTACGATTTAGTTCAAAATTAAATAATGTTAATGGTATTATCATAAAACCTTGATATCCGATAATATAATCATAGAATATAACAAGAATGCCTATTATTTTTGATGTTTAAATAAGTATATTACTTCATTTGTAAATATAACATCCAACCCATTTACAACAACTTACACTCTATGAAAATGGATTTAAGTTCTTTCACTTCTTTTTGTTTCAATATACAGAAATATAAAGTTAGAAATTTATAGATCTTGCTTCTGTAAACCAAGTTGAAAGGGGGCTCCTAATCTCCCGGGATTAGTTTGGAACAATGAGCTTTAAAACAAAATAGATATAGGATAGGTTTATTCAATATTGGTTATTTATAGTCATAGTGGCTGAAATCAATTTTGAGACAGGTTTAGGGAAAAAATATTTTTCGTAATAAATTAGTAATAATTACGAACTAAAATAATATCATTTTAGTTCATGGTAATAATTAATTTAAATTGAACAAATTTACTTTGAAACTAAAGGTGATCTACTTTTTCCATCGGAGTATTGAGGCATTGTAATTTGTAGTTCAGTAGGTAGTTGGCTTGTTCAATTTCTTAGCTTGGTGCATAATCTAAGCCCATAATGCATACTTGTTTTCTGATAACAAAAAAGTGATAAGACATAACTGTTAAAAAACGGTCTTAATTTGAATTAAAAATATTATTTTTAACGAATATTAAATAGCATCTACCCAGTACCCACCTTCAAAGCCATGGATTATGGTGATTGATGTATGATCTAATGTGCAAATGTCTATACTACCGGTTATTAATTATTATTATTATTATTGACAAGTTTAGTAAGAATATCCTAAAACCACCAGTCGTAGTAATTTTCGACACGATGTTCTACGATTGATGATCACTAAATCACACTTTTGCAGAACGACCGCGGAACATTGAAATCATTTTTAAAATTAGAGTATGAACGAAACCAGACATTAAATGGGTACTTTTTGAAATTTATCTTCTGAGACCGTGGTAGTGGTGTCTAGGTATTCAATTTGTATAGATATTTCGATCGTAATCAATATTATCAATCAATCTATAAAAATAGGTACACCATAGTTCGCAAAAATCACTCGTTGAACGGAAACATGATTTTTTTGCATTCGTACGAATTTCATTTCACTGTTTTTTCGCGGCACTTGAATTGTTTCCGTAAATCTAGCTTTGTCACTTACAACCAGCAACATGAGTGTTACTTCAGCGGCGGACGTAGTGATTTTGCTGGAGGAATTAACGTCGAAGTTAATATTTTTTGGAAACAACACGTTGGACAGTGTCTTGAATGAATTTTGGTACGACTTCTCTTGTGCCATTCAAGCCGAACCTGACCTGTTTATTCTTAAGGACAAGACTTTAGCGAAACGGAGTCTAGCTGCCTTGTTCACGAGTAAAGTATACTTGCACGTTGATTCATTACCGAATTCTCTACGATACGCCTTGGCTACTAGCGATATGATTAACATGGAAGCTTGTGATTCATACACGCAAAAAATCATTGCCAAGTGTCTTGATCACTACACTAAAGTTTGTATGAAAGGTTCTGATTACACAGCTTCACTGTTGGCCTCAGAAGTATGTTTGGAAGATGTTATCAGCTGCATTTTTCGAAAGTGTTTAGATGACAAACATTATAAACTTGGATTGAAATTAGCCTTGAAAACAAAGCGTATGGATATGTTCAACAAATGTATTAAATCAGTAGACAATGTAAATGAAATGTTGTCATATGCTAAGCAAGTGACAATGAGCACTTTTGAAAATCGTAGTTTTCGTAATACAGTGTTACTGACTTTTGTTAATCTTTACCGAAAACAATGTGACTTTATCAGTTTGAGCCAATGTTTCATATCTTTAAATGACCCAAAATCAGTTGCTCAGCTTCTTAAAAATCTTATAAAAAAAAATGATAAAAAATCTTGTTTAATGGCATATCAGATAGCAATTGATTTATTTGAATTGGCACCTCAAAGGTTTTTATTTAGTGTTTTTAAATCTTTATGGCAAATAGTTCCCTCTAGTACCCGTACTACTAAAACTATAACTGTTGTGTCAAGCAAAGTTACTGCAATTAAACATAAAAGTAAAGTACATTCTTTTAAATCTCTTGGGTCTAGTGATAAATACAATCACGAAATGGTACAAAAACTTACCAAAATATTAAGTGGAAAATTGAGTATAGAGAAGAATTTACAATTTTTAACTAGAAATAATCATACAAATATATATATTTTAAATAACACAAAAAATTCAGTTAATACAAATATTTGTCACACAGCT